AAAAAAAAAAAAAAAAAAAAAAAAAAAAAAAAAAAAAAAAAAAAAAACCATCATTTTCTATTTTTAGTTATTCCTGTTCGATTTTGAGTCTATAAAATTTAAAATGTTAAATTGTATTTAAGTTTCAATATTTTATAAAATTATAAATTTAATTTTAGCACGAAAATTAATTTAGTTATTTTGATTATGTAATATTATAAATTTTACAATAAAATTCAAATAGTATTTTAAAAAATGTAAATTTTGTAGGGGAATTAAGGTAAAATGCTTGAAGGTGGAACCTAACTCGATTTGATGGTTGAGTTAAGAGTCAAGCTAACCATAGTTAGTCGAGAGATCACATTGAAAGGGATAGGATTTACCCAAAGCTGTCTTCCAATTGCTTCATTAATTCTGCCCAAAAATTAAGGAAATTCAACGTTTAAATTTCTTTTTCTTTAAACACAAACGAGTGTTTAAAGAAAATGTAACAAAATGAATGAATCTTAATTAATTTTATTTTAAAAGTTTAATTTTTTATTATTTTTTTACTAGACCGAGACCAGAAGCTTTTCCCATCTCCATTCAACACCACATATTTCAATTTCATCTTTTACTGGAGTATCTGAATAGGAATTCTAATATTATATATTATTTAATTTTTTTAGGAACTAAAATAGAAATAAGAAAATTTGGGAGGCTAAAGCTATAAGTTATTGTTTTTATTGGCAATGATAACGTAATTAATGAGCTAATTCTACAAAGGCCTGAACCATTTATTTGTTTTGAGAAATCTATTGATGTACTTGTGAATGACATTAATTAACACTATATATATTACCTATGATTCTTATGTTCTATTCATTGATTCAGCATTTAAACTATATACTAAATTACATCAATTTATTTATTATATAATAAACATAATGTGGGTCACTTATATCAATAATTATTGACATTATATCTATCTATATATTAAAATTGATTTTAATAGTTAAAATGAATGGATTCACGAGAGAAACAAATACTCGAATTAACATAGGACAAACAAAAATTGTTGTATTGATCCTTTAATGTATGCAGGACGTAAATGGAGATGACTTACTCCCTCTTGTTACCACTCTTGATTCTCACTAAATTCTTCGTTTAGTAATTTTTTATTTAATTATTCATTCGGAAAGTTCAATTAAATTGTAATCTATTTAATTATGTCCATTAATCGATATTAAATTTAAATTTTATAATTCATCGTCGAAAAATAATTTTTTTTTGAAATAACAAAAAAAAAGTAACAAAGATGAGGAACACATTCTGTAAGGCCGAAAAAATTGACATTTTCAATTGGTTTTATTAATTGTTTTGTGACCAACTTTTAATTTAAAAAAAATTATCTTAAAAAATGTATTTTCTTTTAAGACTCTTTAATTTTTCAACACGTTAAATGGGTTGCACGAAAGCATAATCCACTACGTAAAGTAAATAATGTAATTTTAACGATCAAAGTTAGAATTATGACAAAATATTCATTTGTTTATTGGAAACTACTATGTAATTTGGCGATTTTATATATTTGAATAATCGTGTTTACAGTAATTTTGATACCTTCTTTTTAAAGAAAATAAAAATCTTCAAACCCTTTTCCCAAAACGGGTCCGAGTCTCTCAACATTTGGTTTATTTTGGCCCATGAAGCCCTAAAATTCGTTCCAAATGGCTTCTCAAGAACTTGAACCAGTTCATAAAGTTGCTATTCAGAATTAAAGAAATATATGCAAAATAATTAACCAAAAAAAAAAAGAAGGCATTTTAATTATTGAAACTTAAACTAAACAGGCCATTATCCACCAAATTATCTTATAGATAAATTTTGGCTAGGTTAATTTCTGGCGCATCTAAATCAAACTAAATATGATCTAAAAAATCAAGACGTGAATAAAAAAAAAAAAGTTAGAGATTCAAATTTTCACATTCGCTTATCATTCATCTAAAAAAAACCTAAAAACTGCAAATAAAGAACAATTGAACTGAGTTGAAAACATTCGAAATATTTGATTTTTTTCAGTGATATTTCGCTATCACGATGTGATATTAGCAATGTGTGCTAAGTCAATTATTGTTTGATTGAAATATGTTTAAGTGCTCCTCTCTCTCTCTTATTATTAGCATAAGAGTTCAATACAATTCAAAGCTCGAAAGCTATCTTCAGCTTTGAAAACAAGGGGATAATTGTGGAAGCAAAGGAGATGAATAATGATGTGGAAGGAATATGAATGTAGATAATGTCCAAATTTTTTGTACCCAAATCTTAGGCACATAGGGACATATTCTTGGACCCAGATGCAGCTGTGCGTGAACCTAACTTTCTCTCTCACTACAGCTTTTTAGTGAATCCATGAACCTTTTCCTGTTGTCTTTTTCTCCATGACTCAAAGAATCACCAAGTCAGAAAAGGGGGGAGGGCTAAGAACCACTGGGCAACATAACCAACCTAAGCATTAGCTTGTCTCCAAAAAAACATATATATAATCATGAGCACAGCAAATCCAAGATTTATGGGGGTGAAAACCCATAAGCTACAATAGGAAATAAGGCATCTTCTTGTGAATAACATGTTAGAGAGAGAGAGAGAGAGAGAGAGAGAGCATTTTCCAATCTGCAAACGAAAAGTCCTGGAGAGCAGCAGATGCTGTCTAAGCCCTGCGCGGATAATAAACACCACAAGTGTCAAATTCGGCCTGAAGTTAACTAATCTCATGAAAAGCATCATTCACCAGAGAAGAACTGCCACAGTGAGGTCTATTCATAGGTACTGTTCTCTGTTTCAAAGGTGTTTGTGTTAAAAAAAGGAGGGAAAAAAGAGCAATACGCAACTGTTTAGCAGCATGCACCCATTTATTTTTGCAGCCCAACCAGTCTAACAGAGAAAAATACCAAGCTATTAAAAAAAGAAAAGGATAAGTTTGCCATGTGGTGGACTGTGATAGGGCCACAGAACTGGGTTGCAAAGAACAGATTCAGCCCATATAGCAGGCTAGGTATTATTCATTTAAAGAATTGGAAGATCAAACTGCGTTTCAAAGGGACCACAGTCATTGAACCAACAAGAGGTATCTATTTGCTTAGAACCTTCCACTTTAAAGCCCACCTAACACATAACAAGGTATGTTCCTCACGTGTATAAATTTCTGGGTGATCTTCTAAAGAAGTCAGATTGCAACTAATGGTCCACTAATGTTTGGCAATCGAAATGGGGTAATCATATCTGGAAAGAAAACTTCAATCAACAAAGCATAAAATCTGATCATCCTATTGTCAACCAATGAACTAAAATGTTGGAACAGCGACAAGACATGGAGGTTGAAATATCTTGCAGGGAGAAAATATCTATACTATTTTCTATTGATTACTGTGGTCTCTGTAACATTGTAAGCTTTTTATAGGGGGAACCTTAGGTTGCATCCTCCCAAAAGATGGAATACCTTTTAATGTGAATAAAAGAAGGGAAAAAAGCTATAATGAACTTAAATCAGTGAGGGACCTGCCAATTACGTGTCAAGAATCTCCTGGAATCTACTATAGTCAAATATCCAATGTTTTTTTTTTCTTTTCTTTTCTCTATATCATTTCCTTTTATTTTTTCTTCCTTGGACATTATTGCGGGGATAAATAAAAACTATAAATTCTACTCAACTCTAGACCTTTTCATCAGGGTCGGAAGATTCTGATCCAGCGTGCTTTAATGCCTTGCTGCTCGTTGAGGAAAAACTACGGCGCTCCTTCCCTCCTGGCTTAGACGAGGCATTGCCATACCAGATCATTCCTAGAATTGCAATGATCATACCAATAACTACTTGTACGTTGAGGCCCTCCTTCCCGAAGAAAATGAATCCTAGCGTCAAGACTAAAATGGTCTTCATATGGCCGAGCACTTGGAATGTCACAGCAGTGAACCTACCAATGCATATGAACTGGCTGAGATTGGTCCCTACCGCAATGGAACATGAGAGGATCAAGAACGTCTGCAAACGGATACAGATTGGTAACAATCAGTTGCTAAGCAAACAACTAGCTACGTACTTTTCAGATGAAATGGCAAAAAAGAAGTCGTCAAATATTTCCATCTTGCATTATTTAAATTAGCATCATCCTGAAAGAATTACTAACACTCCATTTGAGATTGAAATTTTTATTGGCGAGATCCATGTACCAAGAATAAGGTTTTCTTGATTTGTACATGTGAATCAAGCTTACATGTACATCACAGATTCATAAGCAAATTGAGGTTTGGTAATGTGATCCTACCTCCAACAAGATCCAAGCAGATATTGAACAACTGGGCACAAAGGTTGTTCGTTATAGGAGACTTTGTAGGTCACAAATGAAACTGTTAACAAGTAAATGGAAGTGAATAGGAGGTAGGCTAGCTAACCTACAAAAAGAGTTTTGCAGAACCAAGAAAAGCAAGTTCATCATTATTCTTTGGAGTGAAAACTAAAAGGCTGGAAGGAGTTGGTGGGCCACATTAACAGGTTCTTTGAAAACTTCAGTGGGCCTCCCTCTAAGATAAAAGTTAAAGAAATGAATTGACTTATACTGTAGTCAGTCATCCTGAGCGATAAGGTGAAAAGGAGAAGGGTTTGCTAGAAAAGAGATAATAGTGATTACTATAAGGCACTTTCACAGTAATTGGCGGTGAGCTTAGATTCCTAGTTTCATCTATAAAAAAACTCATTATCAAAAAGCTATATTGAAATGTCCAAACAGAAACAAAGCACGATAACCCACGGCAGGAGTGAGGTTATCCCGAGCCTATGGTGGGTGGACAAATTTAAGGAACATTACTCTCAAAGTCTATGGAGTTTGGAAGCTCATGCATTAATGCGGTGGCTTCACTAAAAGCCCGCTATAAACTTCACGTTTGGTAAAAAGTTTGAAAGCTGCTATAGTTAAGATAACTACTGAGGCTGTTTTGTTCCTCACTGAAACGAATATTCAAAAGGAAGATGGCATTTCCTTTGTAGCTCAATAGTCCCCTTCAATCATTGGAAACCAATATCTATGAGGAACATCAGAGCTCACAACAGCATTTCTAAAGAACCAGCAAGAATTTTCCATTACAGATGTTTTGTAGCTATTGAGGCCGTTTTGTTCCTCACTGAAACAAACATTCAAAAGGAAGATGGCATTTCGTTTGTAGCTCAATAGTCTCCTCCAATCATTGGAAACCTCTATCTATGAGGAACAGAGCTCACAACGGCATTTCTAAAGGACCAGCAAGAATTTTCCATGAAGCCAAACGATAAACAGATGGGTATTGTCCAGAATTTATTCGCTACTGAACTACTTAACAAAGGAAGCTTAAACCAGCAAAAGACCTATGAGATCAATGCAAAAAACTTGGAGGATCTGCCGTTAGAGAAGATTAGAATAAAGACCTTCAAAAATTGTTTTCTGAAGATAATATAGCCTTGTCATAATCTAAGTGACATGCAAGGGCCACCTCTATTCAAGAGACAAATCTTAAAACTCGAAGAGAAAGAGACATCGCCTTTTTATTTAAAAAAGTAATGGGGCAAGGGTAAAAAGACATGGTCTTTTCAATCTTATTTTATAGATGCTCAAACTCTTCTTTGAGAAACAGGGACAGAGGCTTTCAAAGGGGCCTTCCTCTGTCAAAATGAAACTATAAAAGCGCCAAGAGATTTGATTCTCCTTGATCACAAACTTCCAATCTGATTTGGGAAGAAAATTCTTAAAGAAAAAGTTTCTGTCTCGTTGGCCATTAGGTTGTTCTTTCAATAAAGTTTCTGTCTCTTCTCAAATAGATTGAAGTGGGTGGAAGCTGATGGTGTAACAATAAAAACTAGAAATATTGGGAAGAACTGATGGCATGAGATGATCCACAGGAAATTATGCATTAGTGCAAGCAAATCCACGCTATGAATATCTTGGTTGGAAAGGAATAATAGGTGTTCGGTGATTCAGCACAGGATTGCACAGATATGTTTGAAATAGCCAAATATCATTGTTTCTGTTTGGGTACCTGTGGACAACCTTTCTTTTCCAACAATTAGTCTCTTGTAAATAATGATAGGGGTGGTTTTGGATGGATTTCATTGGAATATTAACTAAATGATATTGGCCTTCAGTATGTGCTTTTGGAAGGATTGGGCTTTGGTAGGAAGTCCTTACAGGATTTCTTTGTAAACTTTCCCATATCAATCAAATTGTTTCTTGTATTTAAAAAATATCCAAGCTCCATCCAATTCAAGGCATGTAGTTTTAGTTTCATAAGCAATAACAACTTGTAAGTAGTCATATTAGGGAAAATGACAGTCCTTAGTTCACTATGCATATAACGAATTTTATATAGGTACTCAGAGTTAATTAGTGGTTTATTGTGGTTAAAACTAAAATTTTCCTGATTAATAATAAAGCAATTAAATTGTTGGATTTTTTAGAGATATTTCAATAATCAATATTTCGTTTTTTAAGGAGTGTCTATTTCACCATACCAGTGAAATGTTTATGTTTCCCATAAAAAGAATTTAGGACTGCCATATCAACTGTGATAGATAGGAAAATGCCAGATTCTTTTATATATAAAATCTTACCGAGGACACAAAAGTGTATCCGTAGGTATCAACTCTCTTTCCAGTCAACCAGTAGTCTGAAAATGGCCCAACTAACAGCAAAGAAGCAGCCTGCACTGGAGCGGTATGGCCTAATAAGTTGAAGGATCCAAGAGAATATTTTCGCTGGAGATGATGTACATACTGCACCCAGAGAAAAAGGGCCAAGGCTGTATTAGAAGAATAATAATTGTGAAACTACGCTATCAGATTGCCTTTATTTCAACATGAGAAAAGTGGTAAAAAACTATCTATAAAAAATTCAATCATTCACCACTATTGCAAGATAACCACATAGTGATAAAAACTAATCCGATAGAAAATCAACAACACGCCACTACTGTAATTTCAAGATAACCCAAAAATAAGTTCATAATTTCAAACAATTTTACACAGCAGTACCAATTTAAGATTAATGATGCAGTTACTTACATACTGCTGCAACGCAGTGCTCCATACTGCCACTATGGCAGCCACAAAACCTTTTATGTTGACACTAACATCAGTGATAGTACAAACTCCAACACCAAGTAGAACTAACAGTATGGCAAGTTTTGTGTCCCTCGAGTATTGCACCTTATCGAAAACAACTTCTAGGAAACAAGATACTGGGATCATACTCAGCTTCGCAATCTGATGATGAGAGAAGAATTACAACCTCATGTCTTAATTCTATAAACGAGGGAAGAACGAACATTTAACAATTAAGGGGAAAAAACCTGATAGAACCCAACAGAATTCCACATCAAGCTCACGTTCATTCCCACAATGGAGAAGTTTGCAAATATAACAAATTTAAGAATGTCAAGGAATGGTAGGCGAGAATCTTGAATATACCCAAGTCGCTTGAGAATAAAAGTCAGCAAGGAGGTTGTGGCAAAATGTAGACCAGTTAAAGTTGTAGCTGCGACGTGATAAACATATTAATAAAAAAAGATCGCATTTGGAACAAAATAAAACTTGTAATACTAATGTTTAGCAACCGAAGTTCACTTTGTCCATGACATGGATACTATACTACTAGAAATGTAAAAGAAAGAACATAATTTGAATATATGGTGAGCCCTATCATGCATACCAAAGCTGAATCCATATGTGGCCATCAATGCTTTATTGACAATGATTATCCCAACAGACGTGACGACATTGAACATCCATGAGGCAGCATCAAGAGTTGACTTATTATCAATCTTGCCAGGTGAAGACATTGCAATCTATACTTTGTTTTTAATCAGCACTTGAAGTTCTCAATCTTCATTCAAAAGAAAAAACCAGAAGTGCTTGATCTTGATGCTCAACAGTCCTATCTGTAGTACAAAATTTACCATCAGCAAAGTACCAATGACTAGTATCAATAAATAAATAGAAGGACAAAGAAGAACCAAGAAAATTTTAAATTATTTAATCGAGATAAGATTTAACTTAAACATATAAAACAGTAGGTGCAGATGGAAAATAACCAGGTCAAAATGACAAGTGAAGAAAAATAAATCCTAAAGGTCAACAAGTTTCAAAGGAAAACTTCAAATTTTACAACAACGTTCCAAATTTATTTACAAACAAAAAATTCGGTGGCTAGACAAGCTTGATCATACAAAACATGTACTAGTCAACCAAAACGAAAGCTCATGAAAGTAAATCACAGGCCAATTTCAAAGTGCAGGTCTTTCTACTTAAGCGCTTTCATTGGTATAGCATTTAAGATTAAGGGATTCAGATCTCAAACTAAAAATAAATAAATAAATCGCAACGGAGATGTTTCCTTGTAGAATTGTTACGTTGGCCATAATTAACTCTTAGGTCATTGTAAAACCGTAAATGTAAAAACTAAAAAAAAAGTCCAGAAAATAGCCAAAACGACCCCAAAAGAAATTCAAGCTAAAACAACTAGAATCGAGAACAATAAGCTAAACAACGAAACAAAGTGGACAAATATTCAAGAGCTGAAGAACAAAATCAACAGGTTTAAATCACAAAGGAGACCCAAATTCCTGCGGAGATTGAACACACCGATCAGCAGATCTCACTTCTACGTAATCCAAACAAGCAAAACAATAAACATAAAAAAAAAAAAAAAAATGAAGCAAAACGCACATTAAATTAAATCTACTCCTACCAGACTCCACACAACACAATGGATCAGGAAGAACAGGCTTATGGAATCTCAATCGAAGGAAACAGCCCAGACGAACAAAATTGAACAAAAAAAAGAGAAGAATCAACGATGCTTCGTGTGTGATTCGATTGAAAAAGACTTTTTCCTGCAAGTGCAAACAAACAAAAGCAGGCGAGAAAGAACGAAGCGGTCAAAACTGTGAAAGGTCGAGGCAAGTACGAACCTTCGAAATTAAGAGGAAGAGATGGAGACCTAAAAAGGAGTTGAAAAGCAGAAGAAACGCTCCAGATTTGCCGCCATTAAATGCTGCAAAATGGCGGAGAAGAATGTTTAACGATTGAATTGGTAGAGACATTCTCCAATTCTATTAAATTCCTCTTTCTTCTTCCCTCCACCAACGACAACCAGCAGACTCCCGTTCATAACAGACACTGATTTTTATTTTACTGTTTTTTTTTTAATAATTCTATTTAATTTCATTTATACAGATGTAAAATATAACTCCTGAAACGACTATATTAAAGATTTTTTTTCAATAACAATTTAAAAACCATCTCATTTTTTAAAATAAATACAAATTTTAACCTAATCCAATATAATTATTTTTTAAATTAATATGTTATCTCATTATTTATTTTATAGGAAAATATAAATAAGACAATTAATTATTTAAAATTTTAAATTTCAAGTTGATTGAATTGCCCAGAGTTATTTTATAAAAAATTATATTTATTTTAAATATTATATTAATAACTAAAATTACATTAACTACTCAAATTAAAAAAAAAAAAAAAAACTAAAGGCAGCTTTATTGGTCAATGGCAAATGCTCTAAGGGCAAATTCGTCATTTTGTATTGGTAGAATAGTGGAATGTATAAAAGCGGGAGAGAGCGAAAATCTGCGGCGGAACTGCAACCGACTCATCTGAAAAATTTATATTTCCCGCGTTATCATTTTCACGTCTCAATTCAAATCTCTCTCAAGCCGAACGTCTCTGCTGCGAAAGATTCTGAACTCTGTGTACGTTCTCGTCTTCTACCGATTTGTTATTCGAAAATTCAATCAATTTTGATTGCTACCTCCTTGGGTTGTAATCTCTTATCTTTTCGCTCTGAAACTTTTGAAATTGAAGTCGTATGTTTTTTTTTTTTTTTTTTTTTTTTTTTTTTTTTTTTTTTTTTTTTTTTTT